GTAATCAATAGTAATGTGAATGTTCACTCTTTGCTTTGATCCTCATTGCTTTCATCTTTTTTTGCTACTGCACTTGACAAAATCTCAGGTTTTGGCTCCACATTCAATTTTGTATGACGATAAATCTTCGCTTCAGTTGGTGATGCCATTAGCTCGCCGCCATATACCTGCATTTCCAGACAGTATGTTAGTTAGATAGTTCCTTGTCGCACTATTTGAATAAGCACAATATATTTGGTTGTACTTCTACCTCATTTAAACCTAGCTTAGCCAGAGTTATGGACTTCATGTTGCTATGTAAGGCTGTGAGGTCCCATTTTACGCATCGTGGAATGGCATTGGGGTTGTGGGGTTGTAAGATTGTTGTATGCTCACACAGCCAATACTAAAACAAATAACAAATATCAGTAATTTGAATGTTCATATGAAATTAACATTGATGTGAATGTTTACACCACTGGTGCAGTAATGTGAATGTTCACAGTGCATCACTAGGCCAGTAATGTGAATGTTTACATCACTTAAAACTGATGTGAATGTTCACATCTGCTAATGTGGACTAATGTTACTGATGTAAATGTTCACATTTCCTAATGTTGAGTGATACTACTGATGTAAGTGTTCACAACTGTTAATGTGAGTGATATTATTGACCTGAATGTTCACAACTGTTAGTGTCAGTGCTATTACTGATGTGAATGTTCACATTTGCTAATGGTGGGTGATGATACTGATGTGAATGTTCACATCTGTTCAAGTCAGTGTTATTACTATGTGAATGCTCACATTTTGCTAACGGTGAGTGATGTTACTGATGTGAATATTCACATCTGGTAATGTGAGTGGTACAACTGGTGTGAATGTTCACATCTGTAATGTGAATATTTACACCAGCATCTACTAATGTGTGTTTTGTACATTACTGAAACAGTAATGCGAATGTTTCATCAATGTTGTCAACTTCCACACCAAAGCTGAGAAATGTGAACATTCACATCAGAGTGTTCAGAGCCCGTATATGTTCATATTAAACATAGAATAAGTTGTATGAGATTTGATTTACCATTAACAACATCACACATCCGGTGACTCGTCCTGGTTTTCCACAGTTTTGGCCCAATGAACCCATCAAGGTTGCCCGGATGCTCTCAGCCCAATCATACTCGATCATCTTGTGTAATGGGTCCATGTATGAGTAGAAAACCCATCCAATTGTTTCTCCGGATGTAGAAAAGAATAGCTTGACGCATGCATACATGCAAACTAATCTTGCGACCTCCTCATCGTCATGTTTTTTTGTGCCCTTCAATGCTTCCCTCAGAATTTCTCGTATTTTGGCAGCACTTAACCGGCTAACATCCTTGCACATTCGGTGTATGATGCCGGATGTTGGTTTTGCACCATAAGAGAGGTCCATCGACTTGGTGCCGCAGTCCACCCCAAAAATCAGTGATACGTCGCTTCTAAAAATCTGGATGTTCTTATCCCCAATGTAAAACCTTCCACTAGATTGCTTGAATGTTTGTACTATACGTACAATCACATCATCATATTTCATGCAGTGGCTGAGGTCGATTTCGTTACTGATCAACCTATCAAATAATGGCCAGAACGGTGTTTTCCTAAGGCACTTCAATTGGCCACTTGTAAATTTCGTATCCTTTAACAGTTTGACCAGTCCAGTTAGATTTGACCGGTAGTTCACTTTTTTCATGTTCACTTCTTCCGGAACAGCTGTTTGACCAGGCTTGGTTTTGAAATGGGATTCCCCTCGCTTTCGCTTGCCATCAACTTTATGGGGAAGACCTGTGTGTTCAAATGAGCACATGTAATTGGGTGAAACACAGAGGATGGAACCCGAAGCAGCAAACAACATTCAACAACCAGCATTGACAGTAATTGGAACATTGACATCATTATACAGTGATGTGAACATTCACATCAGTGTTTAGTACTGTAAGTTTACACAGTAGTCAATACTAATGTGAATGTTCACATCGTCCAGGTTTGAGAAATAAATTTGGAAAACGACAACAGTTACTGGGCAATGTGAATGCTTACATGGGTGATCACATTATGTTATAATTTGCTAAAAATCAAAGGGGGGAACCAACAGCGCCAAACTATACTCAATAACACAAACAACTTGGGCATTGATGTCATAATGTGAATGTTTACATCATACTCCATCACAGTGTTGAGTGAAGTTTGGGTGTTCTGATATTAATGTGAACATTCACATGATGTGAACATTCACATCAGTGTGTACTACTCTAAATTTACCCAGTAAACAATAGTATTGTGAATGTTCACATCGTCCATGTTTGAGAAATAAATTTCGAACACGACAACATTTACTGGCCAACGTGAATGCTTACATGGGTGATCACATTATGTAATAATTTGCTAAAAATCAAAGGGGGGAACCAGCAGCCCCAAACTACACCCAATAACACAAACAACTTGGGCATTGATGTCACAATGTCAATGTTTAAATCACAATTCAGCACAGTGTTGAGTGAAGTTTGGCTGTTTTGACATTAATGTGAACATTCACATGATGTGAACATTCACATCAGTGTGTACTACTCTAAATTTACCCAGTAATCAAGAGTAATGTGAATGTTCACATCATTCATGTGTGCAAAAACAAATCCCGAAAACTACAACAGGTAGAGGCCAATGTGAATGTTTACATATATTTTTACAAAATTAATTCCGAAAACATCTATGTTTACAAATTCAAATCCGAAAACCAGAAGGTGTATGTATACATCAATGATGACATTATGATTGAGAAGCAGAAGGTGGAATGGTATTCCTTACTTTTGTTCGTCATGGTTGGTGGGTATGGATCACACTCAGTGGATAAAATAAACTCAATGGGGCGACAACAATCTTCGAACGACGAAGCACCCTCCTTCCGATGTGAAGCTTCGCAGTGGTGAGACGAAGAGGAATCTAGGGTTACTGGAGGCAATATCAGTATCGTTTCGTCGATTGAGTTTTTGTTTTGGAAATTTTGTGGATTGAATATTTCGAATAGGAATGGGTTTTTGCAGAATCGGTTTCACGCGGGAGAGGCGGAGAGGGTTATTTCGTCCTTTAACAATTAATGGACCTAATGGAATATTCAGAAACAGTTTGGGTTTTATGGAACAAAACAGTTATAAATAGGACTTATCAAAAAATGGCCCTAAATTCCAAGTTGATGACCAACTTTGTCAGCCGCTGAATTTCTGTATCTTTCCACTCCATGCAAGTCTTCATGTCCATGTCCACATTGGATGAGCCCGATTGGTCAAATAGTTTGGCTTCAAGGGCAGCAATCACCCTTGCCCTCAACTCCCATGATTCTTCCAACTGTTTGTATTTCGCTTCCCATTGCCGTACAAGAGCCCAAGCTTTTTGGTTTTCTTTCATGAGTACTTCTATAATGTTGGGCTCAGTTGGTTGTGCTATGATGATTCCCTTCTCAGCATTTGGGGTGCTACAGCTGGGGTTGATATAATGTCCAACATCATTCAGGTCCACTGCATCGACAGAAAATGCATCCCTGTCATCACTGCGTTGACTGTCTTTGCTTTGATCCTCATTGCTTTCATCTTTCTTTGCTACTGCACTTGACAAAATCTCAGGTTTTGGCTCCACATTCAATTTTGTATGACGATACATCTTCGCTTCAGTTGGTGATGCCATTAGCTCGCCGCCATATACCTGCATTTCGAGACAGTATGTTAGTTAGATAGTTCCTCGTCGCACTATTTGAATAAGCACAATATATTTGGTTGTCCTTCTACCTCATTTAAACCTAGCTTAGCCAGAGTTATGGACTTCATGTTGCTATGTAAGGCTGTGAGGTCCCATTTTATGCATCGTGGAATGGCATTGGGGTTGCGGGGTTGTAAGATTGTTGTATGCTCACACAGCCAATACTGAAACAAATAACAAATATCAGTAATTTGAATGTGGATATGAATTAACATTTATGTGAATGTTTACACCACTGGTTCAGTAATGTGAATGTTCACAGTGCACCACTAGGCCAGTAATGTGAATGTTTACATCACTTAAAACTGATGTGAATGTTCACATCCGTTGATGTGAATGTTTACATCTGCTAATGTGGAGTAATGTTACTGATGTGAATGTTCACATTTTCTAATGTTGAGTGATACTACTGATGTGAATGTTCACATCTGTTCAAGTCAGTGTTATTACTATGTGAATGCTCACATTTTGCTAATGGTGAGTGATGTTACTGATGTGAATATTCACATCTGGTAATGTGAGTGGTACAACTGGTGTGAATGTTCATATCTGTTAATGTGAATGTTTACACCAGCATCTACTAATGTGTGTTTTGTACATTACTGAAACAGTTATGCGAATGTTTTCATCAATGTTGTCAACTTCCACACCAAAGCTGAGAAATGTGAACATTCACATCAGAGTGTTCAGAGCCCGTATATGTTCATATTAAACATAGAATAAGTTGTATGAGATTTGATTTACCATTAACAACATCACACATCCGGTGACTCGTCCTGGTTTTCCACAGTTTTGGCCCAATGAACCCATCAAGGTTGCCCGGATGCTCTCAGCCCAATCATACTCGATCATCTTGTGTAATGGGTCCATGTATGAGTAGAAAACCCATCCAATTGTTTCTCCGGATGTAGAAAAGAATAGCTTGACGCATGCATACATGCAAACTAATCTTGCGACCTCCTCATTGTCATGTTTTTTTGTGCCCTTCAATGCTTCCCTCAGAATTTCTCGTATTTTGGCAGCACTTAACCGACTAACATCCTTGCACATTCGGTGTATGATGCCGGTTGTTGGTTTTGCACCATAAGAGAGGTCCATCGACTTGGTGCCGCAGTCCACCCCAAAAATCAGTGATACGTCGCTTCTAAAAATCTGGATGTTCTTATCCCCAATGTAAAACCTTCCACTAGATTGCTTGAATGTTTGTACTATACGTACAATCACATCATCATATTTCATGCAGTGGTTGAGGTCGATTCCGTTACTGATCAACCTATCAAATAATGGCCAGAACGGTGTTTTTCTAAGGCACTTCAATTGGCCACTTGTAAATTTTGTATCCTTTAACAGTTTGACCAGTCCAGTTAGATTTGACCGGTAGTTCACTTTTTTCATGTTCACTTCTTCCGGAACAGCTGTTTGATCAGGCTTGGTTTTGAAACGGGATTCCCCTCGCTTTCGCTTGCCATGAACTTTATGGGGAAGACCTGTGTGTTCAAATGAGCACATGTAATTGGTTGAAACACAGAGGATGGAACTCGAAGCAGCAAACAACATTCAACAACCAGCATTGACAGTAATTGGAACATTGACATCATTATACAGTGATGTGAATGTTCACATCAGTGTTTATTACTGTAAGTTTACCCAGCAATCAATAGTAATGTGAATGTTCACATCATCCATGTTTGAGAAATAAATTCAGAAAACGACAACAGTTACTTGGCAATGTGAATGCTTACATGGGTGATCACATTATGTTATAATTTGCTAAAAATCAAAGGGGGGAACCAACAGCGCCAAACTACACCCAATAACACAAACAACTTGGGCATTGATGTCACAATGTGAATGTTTACATCATACTCCATCACAGTATTGAGTGAAGTTTGGGGGTTCTGATATTAATGTGAACATTCACATGATGTGAACATTATACAGTGATGTGAACATTCACATCAGTGTGTACTACTCTAAATTTACCCAGCAATCAATAGTAATGTGAATGTTCACATCATCCATGTTTGAGAAATAAATTTCGAACACGACAACATTTACTGGCCAATGTGAATGCTTACATGGGTGATCACATTATGTTATAATTTGCTAAAAATTAAAGGGGGAAACCAACAGCGCCAAACTACACCCAATAACACAAACAACTTGGGCATTGATGTCACAATGTGAATGTTTACATCATACTCCATCACAGTATTGAGTGAAGTTTGGGGGTTCTGACATTAATGTGAACATTCACATGATGTGAACATTCACATCAGTGTGTACTATAAATTTACCCAGCAATCAATAGTAATGTGAATATTCACATCATCCATGTTTGAGAAATAAATTTCGAACACGACAACAT